CCTGGGAGGCCCCCAGGCGGTCACAGCGTCGAGAGGAACGCCTCGGACCCCGCTGGGAAGGCGGCGGTAAACTGCTCTCCCCCCCCATCCAGCCGCGGCGGCGTGCAGCGGTTTTGGGGACAGACGCTCAGTGAAGAGCCTGGGGAGAGCGGAGGCAAGAGAGGCGGCTGAGGGTGGTGCGGAAACTCTGTCGCTGTCCCTTTCGGTGTTGGAACGGAGCCCCCTCCTTGTTCCAGATTGTGGCGAGGAGGGACACGGCTCCTGCGCAGTCTACCCGGTTGGCTGAACCACAGTAGGACTGTAGCCATTGAGAACTGGCAAGGTGTGGAGGGGGAGAGAGAAAGAGGACTACCCCCCCTCCTCCCATTTTCTTTTCCCCACCCTTTACTCCTTTCCTCTGGATCTAGATGGGAGGTTCTTTAAAAGGACAAATTGCTTCTGGTTCATGGGTCAGGTCTCTAGCAGGGACATTTTACAGTCCTTATTGCTGGGCCTTCAGGGAAGGGAGCAACAATAAACAGCCTACTACTTCCCCACCGGGTTCGGCTGATGTGGGTGGGGTAGGGCTCCATTTTGGGGTTCTGTAAGGAGTATGATGGTGGCTATTTTCACTTTCAGGCTCCCCTAAAATGGCCGAGAAGGCAGGAACATCTAGCTCCCAAGGCACAGAGAGTCTGAACCCTTCACAGACTACCAATATAGCCTCCCAAAATTCTGAGCCCTCAGGAGAGGAAGCCCAGTCAAATTTCTCTCCTGGCTTAGAGAGGAAATGAGAAAGAATTCACTGGTTTAGGGCAACGGGCAGCTTCTTCCTAGGCTACTGACCTCTCTGCTAAAAGAGACAGGAGTCCCAGTACAGAGGGCAGCCCTCTTCCTAGAAATACAGGCCTCCCAAGCACAGCAAAGGGTGCACACCCATTGATAGTGATCTGAGTTCGCTACAGATTCTGAGGTTTTAGTGCCAGAAAAAGGCGAGCTATTAGAGCAGGAGGAGGAAGTGGTGCCTGTTAATCAATCTAGACTCTTCCCCATAATCTCTATAATAGAATGTGGGCTAAGGTCATCAGGGCACTAGAGCTTACATACACTCCAAAGATACAGGAAGACAAGGAGGATCCTGGTTTTTTTTCCTGTAGGCTCTGACAAAGCCATTCCAAAGACTACTACTAAAACTGCAGGTGTGCCGCTTCCTGTGGCATTTTACAGTATCATTATGGCAGAATGGGAATACCCAGCCAATCCAAAATCTGGGAAACCCAGTGTTTAACAAACTCTGCTTTCTTATTCCAGGAGCCACAAAGAAGCTCAAACTTCCTATGGTGGATGATTCGATTAACTTATCAGCATCTACTTCTCTATTTCCCATGGATGCTGATGGACTCCCAAAAAGACAAGGGAGGTGAAAAGGCACTGCGTAGAGTTTTTTGAGGCACCTGCCATCTCCCTTAGAGCATTAGCTACGGGATCCCTGTTTGCTCGAGCGGCCTACCCATGGGCCTTAGAGCTAACTTCTGTAGAGCCTTAAGGATG